CAAACTTAAGTGTAGAAGAAGCGCTATGCATGTTAACAACATCCACAGAAGAAGATGGAAGTGGTTATGAGCACTTTTGTTTTGAAAAAACTTATTTGTAAGCATTTTTAATGTAAGTTTATCAGTCATATGTGCAAGTAAATAATGTCGTGGAAGCTTTTTTTCTATTATAACCTAAGTACCATCCAGTTCATTTGACTTTGTTCTATATAATAACGACAATTCCTTATATTCTATGAATAACTCGCAGATAAGCCCGTAAAGATACCAAAACTAGTTATAGTACAAGATGCATGCATAAAGGAAACTTTGGTCATGTTTTTTTTAAACTTATACTACAAACTACTTTATTCTTATTCAGGGACTCACTTAAAAACTTTTTAAAAATGTATGAAATATTTGATTGTTAGCCTAAGCCTTTCTAAAAGAATACAAAATAGGAACTGCTATTGACATCATTGTAACATGAAAAGTTAACAAATAATTCTTTCCATTGGTAATAAAATGATTTAAAATCCTTTTTAAACATATATTTTTATACATTGCACATGGATACAACTATTCACTTTATTCTTGCATAAAAACTGTCCTAATTAGTGGCGAGGCTATAACTTATGAACAAGCCAATCGGAAATGTTTGAGGGATTTCAAGGTTACGGCTCCGACTTTAGTTCCTGATGCTCATGTACGATCGGTTCACAGAGGATTTTAGATTAAACTTGACAATTAAGCTACAATAGGCTACAATAAATAAGACTACTAAGAAGTTCCAGTATTTGCAATTACGGTAATTAAATGAATTATAGACGTTGTACAGACTGCCGTGATGTTTTCCTTCGATGTAATATATGTTGAAGGAAGACGTTTTCTAGAATAGGAATCTTTATCGCTCGTTCCAGATTGAGACTAAGGTATATTATAATAATTGCCGCCAACCGTATAATAAAAGCATCAGTAACATTGGCTGCAATAATCGCAGATGTTACTGAAACTTCAGCTGCTCAGTGGTTTGAATATTCTAGGGACATATCCATAATAGAAATGATAAACTTACACAACTAGACTAGATACAAACAATAATGACTTTATGTGGTCGAGGCTGAGAGGGTTTTTGTGACATTGTCATGGCTCCAGATACCAACTATTATGGAGCCATATGGATGAGTTCTTCTACCTTATACATTACGATTTTGGAACCTTTGAATCTTTTTCTAACGTTGACAAGTAGTTGGACGATATGAAAGAAGTGTATCTACTTTAATTATTTGGTTTTGCATAACATATTTTTGCTCTATGCTGACTGTTTACTGATTGGCTAACATTTCTGAAGGTCATATTAGATTCGTTCAAAGGTCGTCCATAAATTATAGTCTCGCCTAATTAGTCGATCATATGTGTACAACTAAATCTTATTTGAATGAACTAAAATAGACTTAGTATTGTCACAAAACCATAATTTTAAACAGAATTACGTTAGACTTCAATATAAGTAAATATAAACCTGTCACAGCTGTATATAATGTAACACTGTCATACAGGCCCGATAAAAATGAGATTATCTTGAAGATAAAGACATGTACGATATTACTGATTGTAAAGACAACGGTGACAGTTTTACAAAAAAGTTCATGGATTACAGCAATGGATCATAAAAAGGTAACTATCACAGTATAGACGGTCAATCTGTTAATGAGGATGGATTAGGGTCATGAACATTGAGTGATTGACACATATTGACAAAAATCGGAAGTAGAGTATAATCGTTTAAACTTTTGGAAAAACGTATGACAGTAATTACTAAAACAGATCGTTGAATAATAACATTTCTAATAGTCGGCTGAAAGATACATTATCATATCTTCTTTATACTGTAAAATTTATAATTAAAATTCAAAGAACTTGACACTTTTCCAGAGGACTGGATTTAGTTTTATTTGGAAATAATAAGATCTTTCATAGTTAAAAGCGTGAGTCAATTGAAGCTAGACCACCATGGAAAACCTGGAAGCACTGAACGGCCGTCTCGTCCTATTATGGGACTCCTCAGCAGTGCGCATCCACGACCTCGCCTCGCGAGATTCGAACCCAGGACCTATCGGTCTCGCGCCAGAGCATTTAGCCGATAGACCACTGAGCCGGCATCCATTGTGGTAATGTCTTACTGGTGGTCTAGTTTCTATTGACTCACGCTTTCAACTATGAAAATACTAAATCTCCACAAACCCCCTTCTGATGATAAAATCTTTCACCATGTATTTTTGAACTACTTCATCATATTACAGCAATTCACTTTCTTCTGGTTAAAAAAACGTTCGTGATCACTCCTTCATTATATAGTAAATTATTTTAATCTAATTCCCATTTGAAAGTACCTGATTGATGATATTTCTATATTCTGATTGATTGTTTGATTAGTTTTCGTAGAACAAATTACGTTAAATTTATTATTGATTGATTTCATTTCTGATACATTCTTATGACTGTTTCAATCTGAAAAGTCATTGTGGTTCTGAATGATGATAAAAGTAGTTTCATTTGATTGATCATTGGGTAATGATCGATGTCATTTGTGTCAGGTCCTTCTTCTTAAGGATCGAATTCCATCAACTAAGTTGCAATGTGGCCACTAGTCTAAGTGACTCGACATGCACCATGCTGAGATAAGATGGTGGTTGAAGGTAGTCAACAGGAAACCATGGACCGAGGTTTCGTGCTATTAGGCACTCATCAGCAAGATGCACCTTCAACCTTGATAAAACTGATACTCCCACAAGATTACTGGTACACCTTGCTGACAAGTGCCTGATAGCACCGTCTGATTATAAAAGTGTCCTAACATGGTCCACGGAGGTATGCTAATAGTGTATCCTGCTAAATTTCATATTTAGATCATCAGTTTCATCCTTATTTTAGTTAATGAGTGTTTCAACTAGCTGTTATATGAGTAAAAATTTGAAAACTTTTGGCACGTTAAGACATTGTCTAGACGTTTATATCTTTTTAATTCAAGTATCCTATTGATAATTATCATCTTTTGTTAGTAAAACCAAATTATCAATGAAACAACTAAATAGTTGTGTAGTGTAATTAATAAGTAATCAGAAACTCACCTTATTTAGCACAGCACAATTTCGACCGGTAAGGTAATGATATGATTAAAAATTCGAAATTTTTTATTAGAGTCATACTAAAATATTTTTTAAATCAAAGTAGAGCTAAAACCTAATTATCAAATAGATCTCTGTGGAATGCAGTAGTCTAATTGAATTTAATATGCGAACTAGTAAATGCCAGAATTGTCCAATATGTACTATTGTAGAGGCGAATGGATCAGTATTCAAGCCAAGAGAGAAAGCAGTAAGTATATTTAAAATGGTTGTTTTTAAAAAATTGGAATTTGGCACACAAAATGTATAAACTAGTCACCATTATATTACAAACATCACAATCTCCTAGTTCAATCCACTGAGGTACAAATCAGTAATATAAAGGCAGATGATTCGAAATATATTCAGCTCAAGTTTTTCTTAAATTGCTTGATACATTGTGGTGTTTATATGGACCAATGATTCTTTTGTACTTGATGAATGCTTGATTTTCAATTTCAAATACAATACATTCATTCGTGTTCATCTAATACTTTTTGATTAAATTGCGTTATTTCTGGGATTCCTAGTTTATACTATAGTTCAAATGCCCTGGTACGGCCAAGAGTGAGGATAGTAGGCTCTCCCTCTCCAAATGCTCTCACATGGCCACGCGTATATAGCCTATGCCACACAAGTCCTACTCACTGCCTTCTCATGATAGGGGTGTTGTTTACGAAACTGAGAAGACGAAAAGTGAATGTCCGGCGCTTTAACAGGGTTGGTGGACACATAAAGTTCCCCTAGAGGAGTTGGAAATCCCTGATTCCAAACCGATGATGCACATGGCCTCCAGTATCCTGAGGGAAAAGGTGGCGTATGGATCAATCGTTGGTCACTGGCTACTATGGAACTGCATCTCCTCACAATGCTCCACTGCCTTATGGATTAGACCTTTAGGTTCAAGGCTCTGGGTGCAGCCCTCTAAGAAAACCACCTGCTTCAGTTTCTGCACGTGGGTTGTATCACATCCCGCACACAAATCAAATGAGACTTGTGTGGCGCATATATATCTGATGCCTCTTTGTACCAAGATTTATGTGTTCAAATAAATAAATAAATTATCACATTCATCTTGCTTTGCAATTAGAAGTTCAGTCACTAATCTCTTAAAGAAATCAATTAGCAGTCAACAAGACAAAAAAAGATAAGAAACAACTATGATAAGAGAAACCACAACATACTCATAATCATTAATATTTAAATGTAAAATTAGCTCTCAATTTATTTGGTTTAAAGAGTTCACCTTCATTTAAACAAAAGCTTACATGAAAGTAGATAATAAATTTTTAAATACATAACTATGTAGCACGTGTTATTTTGACGTTCACTTGGGAGCAGGAGCGATCTGAAACAGCAACACAATAGTCAGGACCTCTGAAGTGAAAACACGGCGTACTGGCACAATAGATATATATTTGAAATTGAAAGACGCGCTTCAAGTACAAAAAGGGAAACTTACTACAAAATAGTTTTACCCATTGTTCTATTGGTTCAGATCGCGTCGGGCTTGTTCTTCTTCTTTCAGTGCATCTACTCCTTGTTGTCCTGTAATAATAAAAACAAACTCACATTAGTAACGTCATATGTGATGATTACGTTACAAGTTACTGGTTAACTTTTTTTAGCGAGTTGGTTTTCTACGGTATAGGGTCGCTAACCCCATACCCAACCCTCCTCCTTTACCCAGGCTTGGGACCGGCAGTAGCCCCAGAGGAGCTACAGGCGAAGTTACCGTTAAAAAAATAATCTCACTTAAATAAAATATTCACAACGACAGTTTTTTTTTTACAAATTTTTAATATAAAATAAAACAAAATTCGATCATAAAAGTTTATTATTGATTTGATCTGGCTTAATTATTTGATCTTTGATTACATTGAATTGGTATTTACTCTTTTATCTATAAGCATATTCAGTAATATGGCACTATTATTATTATTATTACTATTATTATTAAGATAAGTAAGGACCGATTACTTAGTTAATCCTGTTAATGACGATAAAAAATGACGAAGAGAGAGAGGGAGCAAAGAATTCTTAATCAACTTCTATATATATAATCATTATATCATCATATTAGAATGGTAATATTAACCATTAACCATGAAGCCATTATGTATATTATGTTTACTTATTTCATTAAGTAAGTAGTTGTTCATTCATTCATGGAATTTTTTAATCATTCTTCAGTATTCTATGTGAATAGTAGAATGGAAGATTCTATACATCAACTACAACTTCAAAAGGTCAGTCAAATCAATGAAACTTATCTAATTGAATATTTAAGAAGGTTGAAATATTTATGATCTTTGTTGTATAAGACGTAAGCTAAAAGATTGTATACTTCTTTAGGGTATATATTAAGATGGTATTCTTGAATTGGATAGACAGTTTCTTTAATTAATGTCCATGACAACATTTAATTTAATGTACAGTTCAGTGTACAAATCAGTTTATGGGTTAATGAATAGGTCATATATATTTAGTTATGAGATCACCTTATCAATTCGTGAGAAGAAATATAGCTTATTGCTTAAAGTTCTTGAATGTCAATTTAGAATAACGTACACTAACTTGTCAGGGTCGTATTATGGTTATATTAAAATGTGTTTAGCTGCTCAGGTAGAGAATCCAATTATTTTATTTCCACCTACATCAAGTTTGTATTTTGTCCACCTATCTGTAGGACCTAATTAGTTTCATCATTATCTTATTATATTTAATAGACTCATTAACTTAATGTTTTATTTAGCTTCAAAATAAGAGCAATAAATTATAAGCTAATTAGAGGTTATAACTTGACATAAATCTAATTAATTACTTTTACGCTTTAATGTAGAACTCATGGAGTACAAAAATTCAGATCTTAGACTTTTGCGTTTTTTAGTGATTACAAGTCTTGAGAAAGGAGGATTTATCTTCAAAAGACGATGGTAAACCTTAAAATGGGAGAAAAAAAATGAAATAATAGTGTGTTCTATCTTGTGGCCTGTGTGTCCTGTTAATGTATAACGTGATAATACCGCCAATTAGAGAGCAGCGAATTATCGATCGAACCATTGACACACGAAACCTGTATGAATAGTCTACAGTACTTATCGGTCCTGCTTCCCGCTTAGCCTAGCCAGTTAAGTCCAGAACACCAATAACAATCTCTGCAATAAGATTCATTTATTTCAAACATACTGGGTCTATAAACCAACCAGACAGACCACATCGTACCATAAAATAAGGAACAACATTTTTACAAGATAGCCAAATGTGGCTGTGAATAAGGGAGATATTAGTTGATAGACAGGGCATAACTCAAGAATGTTACATCATATAATGTTAGTTAATAGATCAAAATAAAGCTCATAATAAGATGGACACGAAAATCAATAGTTCAGTTATTTACCAATTATACGGTAAAAATATACGCATGGTATTGGTTCATAAATAAATCCCAAAAGTTACCATTCATTATTCTTATCAGGATATAACAAGTGTAAAGTGTTGTACGGAACAATCTAATCTGATAATTTCTATCAGTCTCCTAAAACCATAAAATACGAACAAAGGTATTATTATATAGAATGATGAAGCCTAGTAAGCTCTTCTGGAGAAGAGTGCTACAACGAAGTACGGCACAGCTATCGGGGTGGGATAGCTGTTTCTGCACTGCTTACGCAGAACAATTACATAACTCTCACAACCCATTTTTTTGTCTTCTTGTTTTTGCTTGGGCAGACGCATTTTTATTTTACCCCCTTTTTGAAACCACAGTAATTATGCAATGATTCTATGTAGCATTCGTAATCGTCCTCGGGTATTGGTAGAGTGGTTGATTAGGCAGATCTCCACCACCCGGGTCACCGCTCACGTTAGTTCATGGAAACAGTCCCATGATCTAGGAGGCACGACGAGGACATGTGAGTTGGACTTTGCCTACCAAAGGTATTATAGATGAAAAAAACAACAGATTTAATGATATATTTAATATGAGAGGGGTTAGAGATAAAAACAAGCATTGAGTACATCGATGTTAACTCGGATTTATGTTCCACCAATTTTTTTCTCATTCTATTCAATTCGTTCTTTATCATTACTCTTTTGGAAAACAGCATCGTAAAAGAGGAAGTCAACCGAATATTTTTCGTAAGTAGTCCTGTAATTAAATCAATCAATATAATATTGCTATGTTTTCTTCAGTTAGTAATAAAATGTATATTTATTGAAATATATTCGTATTTGACTTTCCAATATATGACGTACAACCTATATCTCTTCTTATTATCGATTTAATTCAATCAAATTTTCATAGTTGAAATCATTAGTCAATTGAAGCTAGACCACCAGGGAAAACTTGGAAGCACTGGACGACTGTTTCGTCCTATTATGGGACTCCTCAGCAGTGCGCATCCCCAATCCCGCCTCGTGAGATTCGAATCCAGGACCTACCAGTCTCGCGCCAGAACACTCAACCGATAGACCACTGGGCCGCCATCCAACGGTGTTAATGTCTAACTTCAACTGATCCACGAAGTTTGAGCAACCGTTCACAAATTGTCTTCAGTGAGGTGATATCTCAACAACAGACGTAGTTGAACTCCACTAGTCCATGGTGGTCCAGCTTCAACTGACTCGTGATTTCAACTATGAAAATACTGAAATCTCCACAAAACCCCTTCTGATCTAAATCAAATTTGTTCAGAGTGTTTCTTTAGTACATTAATTGGCATATTCAATTCAAAAGTCTCAAAAAGAACGAAGTACAGTAACAACTTTCAAAATACTATCACACTGAAAATCATACTAATTGAATCTATCCAATGGAATACACATAGAGGTGAAAATAGATATCTTTGAGTTCCAAACAAATTTTAAGTACTCATTAAAAATATAAGCATATATATTCATTTAAAATGTTGTGTAGTTGAAGATAATCGATAGGAAATCCTAATACCTAGATTTTGTGCTAGTTGGCACTCGTCAACAAGTTATACCTGTAATTTTGAATAAGTGATTGTTACGGCATGGTCAGATTCCTCCTGACTAATTCCAATCAACTAACACTGAAATATCAAGTCACTTAAACTGATGGTCATATTGAGATTTGATCGACAGGATTTGGTTAACATTTAGGACTAGACAAACATTATATTTATCACTATTCAGTGATTCATCAATGTATATATTTAGTAATCCTAGTTTGGATGGTAATCTTGGCGTTGATATGATAGTATAACAATTGGTATTGAATATTATTATTTGAATAGTAAGAAACCTATAAATGAAATTTACCGGATTCCGCGAGGCGAGATCATGGATGCGCACTTCTGAGGAGTCTCACAATAGGACAGAACGGCCGTCCAGTGCTTCCAGGTTTTCCTTGGTGGTCTAGCTTCAATTGACTCATGCTTTCAATTATGAAAGGATAACTTTCCTGTCGATATTTCATAAAGTTATTTTTTCAAACATCAGGTGAGCTCTAAATGTTTTTTTCCCCTGTGCTTTCTTTAAAAGATGAGGTTGTTTAGGATTTGATTAGCTGTTCAAATAATACTTAGTATCTTGAACAGACCCTTTAATAACATTTGAGCGTTGATAATTATGTATATATGAATCAGTGTTTGCAATAGCATGAATTAAGTGTAACTTTGCACAGTTCGTTATTCCTAGTGTATTGTACTTACAAGTTAATTTGATTGTGATAATGAGCCAAGTTTACTAATGTCAGCTGAGACTCAGTTTGAATTATTTAAAAAAAATGTTTATTCATGAAAATACTTGTTCATAAATATTAGGTGACTCAAAGAAAAAACTAGCGCTTTGTGTTCAAAACTTTACATATTATGTTGACTTATTCTCTAACAATAATGAATTGAATTCATTTGATATTCCTATGTTTAAAAGGTAGTGTTATCAACAAATATTTTTGTAATTTTGATAGTTGAGATCATGAATAAATTGAAGCTAGACCACCATGAAAAACTTGGAAGCACTGGAAGGCCGTTTCGTCCTATTATGGGACTCCTCAGCAGTGCGTATCCACGACCCCGCCTCGTGAGATTCGAACGTAGGACCTATCAGTTTCGCGTGCGAGCGCTTAACCACTAGAACACCGAGCCGGCTGGCATCCAACGGTGTTAATGTCTAACTTCAATATCTTTGTATTAGCTACATCTAAAGGTCTTAATGAGCATCCTCAATTTCAGAATAAAATGCACCAGTTAGCTAATTAAATTAAATCCAGAAGAAAAGCTTTAAAATTCTTCAAAATAAGAAAGCTTATGAATAACAGTAAAGCAATTAGTCTCTTTTATAAATTTCGATAGAGCAATGAGAAGATGGAGTTGATCTGAAAAATGTGATGTATTTGCGCTATACATCTCGAACAATTCGGTCTCACATATATTTGCCAAGGCATTGAATATGAAAATTAACAAAGGTCAATTAAATGAAGCTTCAAGTAAACAAGGTGATAAAGGGGAGAGAAAAGTTGTTAACATCATATAGAAGGAATAAGAAATTGTCGCATTACCCTAGACCATAAAATGACTTAAGGATTACTAGGGTATTCACAATTGATTGATCACTAGATGGTGATCAATATCATGTGTGTCCGATCCTTCTTAGTGCAGATGCTACCAGGGTAAACTCAGGGTTACGACAAATTGTTTTTGTACACATAAGGGAGGTTTAAACTTATGAATGGCCAAGGCTTCAATAAACCTGAGAATCTATCCTTAACAATTTTTATACAACGTTTGAAGAGCTGTATTGATGTCCAATTTGTGACGCGTTTCAACTATGTGTTTTGCTATCGATGAACATGGTTTTCTACTTCCCACATTGATCGGATCATTCGACATTAACTGGTTTTGAAGTCATCTAGACACATATTCCATAACACTTGATTTCACTGTTCTATTATCCCTCCATATGTATGTGTGTTTGTACAAACATGTAAATTGGTAAATGCGATAAGATGTGACGCAATCATTTGTGCTTTGTCTCAGTCTATTTGGAATCATGGGCTTAGACTTTCCAATCACAACCAGTTTAGTAACATATTAGGCTTTCTCGATGGCTGCTCTCAATCTGTCTCAAAAGCATACTATTGGATTCACCTCTATATGGTAGATAGATAAGAACCTTTTTTTAGGAACCGAATAAATATTATATTTACATCATTTTCTCCGTCAATTTCAGAGTGCATTACTTGTAAAAGTGGTACGGGAAAAGTTTTAAATATGATTTTAAGTCCATCAACTAACGAGTCGATCAGTAAAACAATTGAAACACTTTGTATGGAAACAGGTCCATTTAGTACTTCCGTAAGTAATAATTAACTTTTTACAACATTCAATTAATTATAGGCATAAATGTATCTTTCAAAATTAGAACAATATCTTAAAGTGAACAATTTTGTTTTCAATCAGATCTTTATCAGACTTTATCCTAATATTACTTCCTTACGCCTGTTAGCCCCAATCGAGCATAGGCCGCGGACCAGCATTCTCCAACACACTCTGTACTGGGCCTTCCTTTCTAGTTCTATCCAGTTCTTGTTCATTCTTCTCATATCTGTCTCCATTTTTTGGCGTAATGTGTTCTTTGGTCTTCCTCTCCTCCTTTGGCCTTCAGGATTCCATCTGAGTGCCTGCCTTGTGACGCAGTTGGGTGCTTTCCTCAATGTGTGTCCTATCCACTTCCAGCGCTTCTTCCTGATTTCTTCCTCTACTGGAATCCGGTTTGTTCTCTCCCACAGTAGGTTGCTGTTGATAGTGTCTAGCCAACGGATCCGAAGTATTTTGCGTAGACAACTGTTAATAAACACCTGTATCTTCTGGATGATGGTTTTCGTAGTTCTCCACGTCTCCGCCCGATACAGTAGTGTTATATCGTGTGGACTCATAATATATATGAACGTGCAATTAGAGAGGAGTGGATTTATTGATCGGACGCAAATGATACATAAAATACGTACGAACAGTATTGGGTGTTATTCGGTCCTTCCTATCTGCCTAGCCCAGCCAGTTAAGTCCAGAACACAAATAACAGCCTCAGCAATATGAATCATTATTTACAAACACACTGGGTTTTTATACAAACCAAAGTAATCAATAAACTGATTATAACTCAAGAATCGTTTGATAATAAATCAAAGATCAAAATAAAGCTCATGATAAGAGAAAACGAATATGAATAATTTAGTTACGTAACAACTGTACAATAAGAAATAGGCATAATACATTGGTCGATAATAGACCTCAGATTTACGATTCATAATTCACCAGGGGATATAACAAGTAGAACAGCCTTGACATTTGTATTGACAATTCTGGTGTTGGTGTTGATTGACAATTGTCTTGAGTTCCAGATGTTCTTCAATTGTAAACAAGCTGCTCTTACTTTGCCGATCTACGCCTTCACTTCTGCATCAGATCCACCGTGTTCATCAATGATGCTGCCCATATATATATATATATATATATATATATATATATATATATATATATATATACAGCATTTAAAATACCAAGCCGTTGATCATTGGTCATAATTTATAACGCTTATCAACTTTACTCACACTGAAACTTAAACTGTAGAACAATCATGTTAGAGAGACCGCTTAACCGCGGTAATAAATACATAAGATTATTATTCATCGTTTTAATCATGTAAAAGGATTTTAGATTGATATATTAAAAAGGTTAAGGGTAAACACCCGTGATCAGTTCATATCTAAGATTAAGTGTTATCAAAGCGCTAAATCAAGTGGGTTATACTAAAATAGCTTCTTAAATAACATTTTTTCCTTAATATTAGTTACAGTTAAATTCACTTAATATTTTTTGTTTGAATCTTCCCATTGATGTTTTGAACTGCAGTCTCTAATTGGCATATGTGCATAATGTGCGTATTGCCTCGATATAGCCTTAATTCACAAGCATTGTAAGCAAAGGTACTGGCTTCGAGTCCCAGAGTAAACATCAACTCTTAGATGCAGGTACATCCAGCTGATGAGTCCCAAATAGGACGAAACGCCTGTCCTGGATTCCATTGCTAGCCGCTATCCATCTTTTCTTAGTCACAGTCAGATAGAAAGTTTTTATTGTTTTTCTCTTTCTTATTTCCATGTTCTTATTTACAGTGTAGAATGTTTGCAAGTGAACTTTCATCACAAGTCTTCTATCTTTTCCGTCATATAGTACCACAAAAGTGGTGTGCTGTAAGTTATTATAGTATATCTTTGAGTAAAATGTCAATCCTTCTTCTATGGTTTTAATGTATTAAATGACCAGTTGATAATATTGTTTGGACAATGAAAAGTAAGTGATATTTGAACAACAATGATCAAATTAGCATTGAAATGGAATTTTAGTTGACACAGAATACTCAGTAAGTGACCTTCAAATTATCGAACGTATGATTAATTGGCTTTCTAGAAACTGAAGAATTCTCTAAATAGATGAGATCAGATAATAATCAATGATCTTTTCTATTCATCTGGTTGGTGTTTAGTTATTCAACAACTGTCTCATGAAAAAATAAATAGTTTCCTAATGCCTACTTAAATGTTAGTTTGGTAATCCAGTTAGTTGCTTTTGTATCCACTTTCTCAATGGTAATTCTAATTCCATCTCAATTTTGGGGTTCCTTTTACATAAAAGAAAATAGATCTCATACACAAGTGTATGAATAAATATCGCGACTTTCAACTTTTCATAAGTTTGCTTAGTGTTATGTAAACTTAATCACTCACCAAGAAAGAGTGAAGGATATGTGAATCGTAGATTAACTTCTCAGTAAATGTACATTATATTGGAAGTGGATAAGACATACATTAAGGAAATCACCAATGTGCATCACGAGGCAATCCCTAACTTGGAATCCTGAAGGGAAGAGAAAAAGAGAAAGGCCAAAGAACACATTACGTCAGGAAATAGAAGCAGATATGACAAGGATGTATAGAAACTGGAAAGAACTGGAAAGGATTGTTGAGGACAGGGTTGGATGGAGAATGTTGGTGGGCGGCCTATGCTCCTCCACGAGGGGTAACAGGCGTAAGTAAAATTAACATGTACATTATACCTTTGTGTCTAATAATTGAAGAAATCTATAATACTTAACAATGTATAAATCAAAATCAACTTTCTGTTAGTTCCACATTTTAATCTGATGTTGATCACTTCAAAATCAATATCATAATCATGAAACTAAACGTGACTTTAAAATGAATGGGTATATATGTCATAGTTTCACTTTTCTTCTCAAAGAGTTGTAACTTAATAAAGCTTGTTTATCAAAGTAAATATGATTACATTGTAGTGAACAATATCACAAGTGGGAACAATCGAATGTATTTAAGCACAAAATTACAGAATATCTCACTAAAATCTGACAACGATACATTAAAAAGTCAATTTGTAAACTATCCATCAATTGTCTCAATCATGACTCTTCCTTCTGCAAATATCAGTCCATAGTCTCTGATTTCATTTTTCATGCATTTTCATACCAATTGCGTTTCGTTTCCGTTCTTTTCGTTATCGATCTTCTATTGAAATACATTTAATGCCCGACCATCGTCATATACTGCTTATGTGGATATAAGTAGACTAAACCACAATATGACGAAGATAATTCACTCGATGTTCTGAAGTTGAACACATTATAAAGATGATTTATACTTTACATCATAGATTGAATTGAACTAAACCACCATTGAAGACTTAGGAGCATTAAACATATGTTTTGTCCTAATGTTATACTCCTTTGCACTATACACACACTATTTTACCAGAGTTTCAACTCAGAAAATTCAAATCTCTCAATGAGTGATTGATAGCCAACATGATACAAGTGTTTTCCAACTCATCTATAGGTTGTATAAGTGGATTTTAATAATACAATCTTTATTAATGGAGTGATATTTTACGATTGGTATAAGCTGCATTTCTTTTCTATGTTAATAAATTTCTTGTCTATCACTTGGGTAACAAAACTTCTAATTTTTTATTCAATACCAAACGAACTTAGTTAAATTTACAATGGATCCAGTGAGTTAATTAACATGAAGTGTATTCAATCATACCCGACAGAGATACCATGAATCCACTTCATGTTATACTTAGATTCTGATCGAAAAGTAAACACATACACATGAAATAAATGAGTTTTGTTTTTATTTATTGAATACTACACTTACACTAATAATCTAAGTAAATTACCTACCCCCAGAATCACAGTTTTAACTTAAAAAATATGAGTTGTAAACTAATTATTTTATTACAGTTCCTCGGTTTCTGCTATTACCCACCTATTGTACCTGGTAAGTTTATACAATTTTATGTTGTATTTAAACAATCTATTAATTTAAATTCAACTTAGTATTGTTTGTTTGAATCTTCCCATCGATTTGTTCGGACTGCAACTGGTCAGTCTCTAATTGGCATATGTGCATACTGTGCGTATTGCCTCGATATAGCCTAAATTCACAAGCATGGTTAGCAGAGATGGACAATGGCTAGCAGTGGAATCCAGGACGCGCGTTTCGTCAGGATTCAGTGGCCGAGTGGATAACGCGACGACGTTTGAAGCGAGGGTACTGGGTTCGAGTCCCAGAGTGAACATCAACTCTGAGATGCAGGTACATCCAGCTGACGAGTCCCAAATAGGACGAAACGCGCGTCCTGGATTCCACTGCTAGCCACTATCCATCTCTGCTAATCTATTAATTTGATGTAATTTCTGTGTATACCCATCATAAGTATGAAGTTATAATATAAGAAGTTATATCTTGATCAGAAGGGGGTTTTGTGGAGATTTTAGTAATTTTTTTATATGGTTGAGATCATGATTCAATTGAAGCTAGACCACCATCGAAAACCTGGAAGCACTGGACGGCCGTTTCGTCCTATTGTGGAACTCCTCAGCAGTGCGCATCCACGATCCCGCACATAAGAATCGAACCAATTATCACTAGATCACTGATCCGGCATCCGACGTTGTTAACGTCTAACTTCAACCGATCTGTGAATGGTTGTGCAACCATTCACCCATTGTTTGAGATAGATACCTGTCTCTATCCGACACAGATCGGAATCCACTGGTCACGACATTGACACCTTTGGATACCGGTTCAGTGGTCTAGAGGTTAGGCACTCACACGCGAGACCATGGGCGGGAAGGTGGATGCACACTGTTTAGGAGTCCCATACTGGAATGTAAAGGCCGTCATGTGCTCTCAGGTTTTCCATGGTGGTGTAGCTTAGATCGATTCATGAATTTAACTATTAAAATTACTACTGTAGTGCCGTGCTTCAATAATAGTTCACTTCGATAACCGTTATAATACCAATCTTAACGGTGTATAAAATCAGAAGGCAAAAGGAAGCGGTAACTACATTTTTATTGATGAATCATGCAGACCAGAAAGCTGTGGGCACATGAGCAAGTGTAAGCGAGCGAAACATAAACGACATGCATTGGAGATGGCTGGTAAGCCAACTCGCTATGAGCATGCATTACTCAACATTTATAATCAGACAAAGATGAATGACAGACATATAATGAATAGGATACGAAGGGTACACATATACGCTCATATAAAAATATAGTCAAGATTAATAAGCGAATGATTAAGAAGATCAAAATATGACTCATAATATATGGGTGAATTGGTTTGGCCAGTAGTTAGAATAAAGTATATGGGCTTACCATATAAACTGATACTACACTACGATCTCTACAAACCCCGTTCTGATCTATTTGAATTATCTAATCAGCACCTTTATAAGCTGTGACCGTGCTTCTTTCATTTTGACTGAGTTGTTGAAACATTTATTCCATCATAGACTGCCCCTATTTGACACTTCACTGAGTTCCTTCATCATTACCCTTACACAAGTTTATCAATCGTGTTTTCAGGTATTTCTAAGGGTTTTTATTATCCCCTCATTGATATCCGAGACTTTGTTTGACCAGTGTTCTTCAGAGTATGTACATAGTCGTTGCTTTCCTTAGTATTCCCCATAAATACTAGTTTTAGTACATTTCTGAACATATTATAGGCGCAAGTGGGTATAATTGAACAAGTTCATTACAATAAAATCAAGTGAATTACGTCGTGATGAACTTCAAAATAGTGTCAAGCTGGTTAACACACAAAACATATTCTACGATATAGATTCATCAAATGTAGTACTGAGTATCAACAAATGGAAACTATAAACCTTTAAAAATTCTTAAATCTCACATTATTTTTTAACACCATTTTTTATCATAAATTGACTAACGATATTTTCTACCCTCTTTACATACTATCAGTTTGTAGATGTTGTATCAATACTGGGAAACTGATAAAATCAATGTTATTGTCAAAACCTTTTCTATCAGAGTTATATAATAACACATTAACTATATGTGATAAATTACCTAAATTATCTATCGTAGTGAGTTTACTTTACATTGTGTTCTTTTTAATGAAAGATTCTTATTTATAAATCAACGAATTGATTGAATTAATTCAAATATTTATCTAATGTGCTTAAACATACATAGTTTTTTTGGTTTAAGGCCCCCAAATGCCTTGGTACGTCTGAGAGTGGGAAGAGTTCGCTCTCCCTCTCGATATGCTCTCACATGGCCACGCGTATATGGCCTAGGCCAGGAAAGTCCTACTGAACGACTTCTCGTACCATGGGTGTTGTTTACAAAATTGAGAAGACGAAAAGCGAATGTCCGGCGATTTAACCGGGTTGGTGGACACGGAGGGTCCACCTAGGGGAGCTGGAAAACCCTGATTCCAAACCAATGATGCACATGGGCTTCAGTATCCTGAGGGAACAAATGGCGTATGAATCAATTGTTGGTCTTCGGCGACCATGGGACTGCATCTCCTCACGATGCTCCACTGCCTTGTGGATTGGATCGTTAGGTCAAAGGCTCTGAATGTGACGTCCTAGGGAAACCACCCGCTTCAGTTTGGGCACCTGGGCAGTATCACAGCCCTCACACAAATCAAATGAGATTTGTGTAGCGCATAAATATCTGGTACCCCCTTAAATCAATATTATGTGTTTGAACAGAATAAGTAAATGTTGGTCTAAGCGATATATATAACTCTTTAGGAAAAAGATGATTAGACATTTACATTATACATTAAAGTTCCATCTACTTAGTCGAAGTCATTTCTTTCAGCATTCAAACCTGTATTATTCTGGAATATATTCTTTGTTATTGATGTCTCACGTTGTATCTTTTCTGATCAGCGTTTTTTTTGCGAATTAGTTTTCTACAGGATGAGGAAGCTAACCCTATGTCCAACCCTTCTCTTTTATTCGGGCTTGGGAAGGGCCACAGGCGGAGTTCTCACATTGTACATCCAAATGATAATTATCGTTTTTAGATAAAATGATTTTCCATTGTATTATAATTATTCAATTAAATTTATTGTGTTATTTTATTTTAGTGCAATTCACTTCTACATGATATTTTCATGGCTATAACCTTAAGCTTCAAGGAACAATTTATAGTTTATCGACTCTGTAAGGTAATAACACTAATAATAATCATACGTTAAGTTAATATTTTATATGAAGTTATTTAATTAATTGCTCAGTGGTCTATCGGTTAAGTGCTCTAGCGCGACACTGGTAGGTCCTGGGTTCGAATCTCGCGAGGCGGGATCATGGATGCGCACTGCTGAGGAGTCCCACGAGAGGACGAGTTGGCCGTCCAGTGCTTCCAGGTTTTCGATGGTGGTCTAGCTTCAATTGACTCATGATCTCAACTCTATATAATTGTAATTTCATTGATACTATCTAACACATAGGAGATTTTTCTTCTCATTGATGATTATACCTATAAATGCATACATTTACTAACAACCTTCAAAGTACTTATCAATGGACAAGATAATATTTGAAATAATGGTCACGTTTGACTCTAGAGAAATGTAGATCCCAATTACCCTTTATGTGAAATGTAGGTCATTATGACACTGACATCGTGTATTAGAATGTGTAATCTGCTTGTTTACGAACTGTCTTCAGGCCTGATGCTAAAATACAAGAAACAATTAAGACTGCTAATAAACTAGACCAAATACGTGAGATGTTTCTTAGTTATAATTTAAACGAACACAGTAGAAAATCAAACTGGAATCAACCATAGGAAAGTTTATTTAGGAAGTATCTATGGTTGAAAGAAAGTTAGGGGCGACCAAACCAAAACATAGTATCAGTGCTTGAAGTCACTAACTTCTAGTCTGAGCCATGTTGGTAGAGCAGACTACCTGGTTGGGGTCCTCGTGACTATCGTAACCAATGGTCGAAGACTCTGGATGACATGGCTCAGAATCGATCACAACGGCGTAGGTGTATACACTCTTTTTCTTTCCCTAAACAGTGAGATTAAAATTAATTTATACCTTTATTTCTACGAACTACTTCTTTTTTCCTGTATTATATCGTTACACGCTTTCTTTTATACATTACTACCATCGAAGTGACTACTTCTGGAAATTTGGTGTTCATCTTGTTGTGCTAATGAGGTGTGTCAATGTGGATCGATGCATAAATGTGCCTGGTCCTACGTTGTAACTGACTGGATGATTCATCACGCACACAATTAAAACTGAAAATATACAACTGTTAAAAACTAGCGTTATATAAAATAATTAAAGTAGTAAGGCTACTACAAGACTAATCATGTTTAAACAACACTACATTAAAAGTTGAATACCAAATGTGTTGAGAAGACGCATACCTTTTTTATAAAGCAATGACATTTCAGTAAACAAACTGTGAGAGTAATAGGTGTATTTGGTACGGAAATAAGCTTGTGTCAAAAATATTACGCTTTACTCAGCTTACAAATCCGAAATAATAATAAAGATAAAACAAGACAGATACATATATACCAAGATGCACCCATACATCTCTGTTAAAATCGTATATCCTAATAATCATGAAAAACATCACAACATAATTCAATAGGATAAGGAATGTTAAATTTACTGACCATACTGATACAAACAAAAATAAATCACACAGAAGCTTGATATGAATCACTAAAAAGTCATTAGATGAAGTCAATTAAAGGGATTTACTGTGAATTTCAAAATTATTAGTGATGATGATTTGTGGAGATTGTAATATTTTCACAGTTCAGAACACCAACCGATCTTAGCTCAATGTTGAAGAGTTGCATACTACGACGAAACGGTCATCTAATGCTTCCAAGTTTTCAATGGTGATCTAACTAGGATCAATTTTTGAATTTAAATATTGACAAAAAGAGAATATGTGACAACCAAAGTAAGTTATTTAGGTCCTGTAATAATAATGACAATTAGAAACTATATACTAACAATGGTAGATATTAAATTCATCAATCTATTGACCGGATTGAAAAGTGTTCATCTAAACTATTCTGAAAATTCTAAAAGTGGTAACATCACAGTGACCGCATACTCAGGTGAGGAGTTGTTTCTCAAATTGTGAAAACCATACATTAAATACATTATTTGCAAATCTTCTAACATTTGTCTCAAAAATCATCGTTACTTCATTGCTATTACAATTACTATCCGTCTACATTCCCGTTCTCTTCAGTTCAATCTTCTCAACCTTCTGCTGGCAGGTATTTCACTTCCGATTAGTGTTACATACTACTTATGTCAACAGATATAAGTAGCATACATCACAAAATTTCTCTTTAGATTTAGTTATAAATTAATTCATCAAAATTGATCTAACAACTAGTCAGTAATCTACAAAATAGACTCAATCTAAATGGATTACATAAAATCTCCTGATTATTGGTAACCTTGGATCAAATACCTTTTCGATTAATTTTTATCAGTTCAGAGAATTTAATGATTATTAAATTATTCTAAACTACATCATATTCTTCCGCTTCTTCTCTTTATATTTTGTATAGAATGCTGGATTTTGCCGAAAAATTTCAAAACTTCTGTATGAATATTAGTTGCTATACAACAAACACTTATGTTTCATGATGCTGATGAATTTATTCGTACAAATTAAGTATACTATTAGAATGTTCAAATTCTTTGGTTTATTATTAGAAGGGGGAGATTTTGTGGAGATTTTAGCAATTTTATATAGTTGAAATAGTGAGTCACTTGGAGTGGATGAGCACTGCTGAGGAATCCTACAATAGGATGAAACGGCCGTCCAGTGCTTCCAGGTTTTCCATGTTGGTCCAGTGCTCAATTTCGTGGATTGGTTGAAGTTAGACACCAACACCGTTGAATGCCGGCTCAGTGGTCTAGCGGTTAAGCGTTCGTGAGCGAAACTGATAGGTTCTGGGTTCGAATCTCGTGAGGCGAGATTGTGGATACGCACTGCTGAGGAGTCCCAAAATAAGATGAAATGACCGTTCAGTGCTTCTAGGATTTCTATGGTGGTCTAGCTTCAACTGACTCATGATCTCAACTATTAAAATTGATACAATATTATTAGAATAAATAAATTAAAAATATATTAGATTGTAAAGAGCCGTTGGATTGTTCCTTTGATAAAACGAATGTTTAGAAGCAGTTGAGAAATATAAATGGTGAAGGTATGCAATATATTTCAAATTCTTATCATCAAAAAGATACTTTATCACTATAGATAACATTTTTCATGATTAATGGAGAACATTACCAAAGAGTTAGGGATAATTATAATGAAATTTAAAGCAATTAGTCCCCTTGATAAATTTCGATAGTGTAATAAGAAGACGAAGATGATCAGTACTATGTGACATATTAGCTCAATACATTTCGAACAGTCCGATCACACATATACTTGTTAAGAACATTTATATATAAAAATAAAAGGTCAACTAAACTGGAAATGGGGGTTTATAGTAGACAAGGATAATAGTGATAAAAATCACTCTGAATAATAAGCATATATTACCAGGGTAGGTTTAAGGAGAGAACAAACTGTTTTTGAATACACAATTATCAATCTACACTTCGTGCTTATTAAAACTAAAGCATAAAATGTATCAGTAACACTGAGGCACTCAGGTTGGAAATCATCTAGCTCACGGTTAATTGATCACTGAGTACTGATCAATTTTATGTCCAGTTCATCATTATTGTTGATCAAACCCTGTTGATCAATTTGAATTGTGTTTACTAGTTTAAGTGATTGAACAACTATGTTTTGGTGTTAGTTAGTTCGAGGTCATCAGTAAGAAACACTTATTGGCCCAGCTTTTGCGCTTATTTGCACTCATCGGCAAGGTATGGTTACAATCCTGAAACGACTAATGTTTCCAGTATGGCTTTCAGTTCTACAGGAGGTCCATTAATAGGTAAATAACTTAGCAGTGTCGTCTTGGACTCTGAAATTGGACAGAGAAGGTTCGAATTCCATTCTGAGCACTAGTTCGACTAAGACTGTAAGTATACCTTTCGGATAAATGTCGAAAAGCCCGAAACTTAGATTTGACGTTCTCTGCTGACTATCTTCAACTACCCAACGTCATCTCGTCTCTTAGCAAGGATTGTTGGTACATGTACTTCGTGGGAATAACAATAATTTCTGTTCAATGTGATATTGAGGAGTCATTAGATAGTCAGTTAGTCTTTAGAGATCGATCATAAGGTTAAAATTTATCATTTATTTATAAACGTTATATAATAACTAACTTTACTTGACTAGGATCTTGTAAACGAATAGATGTATAAGTGTGTTTTTACTTGTCAACTTTCATTTATTATGTATTGAAATAAATCACTAAAATGGAGTTACCACTTATCCAATCGATTACAGAAATATATACGGGATCACCTTTTTACGAACTATTGATTAAAAAAAACTGATTTGTATACTTTGTACCCTGTAATCAGAAGTCACAGTGGATCTGAAAAATATGATGGATCTTGTAAATACATTTTTAAAAACTTTATTACATACTTGCCCATCAAGGCACTTTAACATTAACATAAAAGATGATCATTTTTAATCGAAAACATTAAGAATTGAATATAAAGAAGGATGGTATGATACACTGCGGAAATTGTCACATTTCCTCTGAGATTAAAGTTGATTAACGACTATTAGAGGTTAAATAGGAATAATATATTTGTAAAATCTCAGCGAATGAATTTGAAGTAAATCCAATGTTTCGCCTAGCAATCTGGTCCAAGCTATTTCCTTGGAAATATATTCTTCCTATTTAATGTCTTACATCAACTGGACGTCCAAATACTGTGTAACTATTCGTTTTAATTTAGACCAAAGTTCTTATAGATTACGAGAGCTGTTTGACGGTGAGAACTGAGCAATTTTCAAAATTAAACTTCAGTTCTTTACAGGTTGTAATTTTAGATTTATAAAACAAGCCACTCCTTAATAATAAGTACGATAAATTTATTCCCAAAAAAGGAGGTAAATGAAACAGTATAATCACTATCATTCGAATCTACCTTAACAAATTAATCGAATATCAGTAAATCTGTAATAACTTCATAAAGAGAAGTATGGGGTGGATAAATAATCAATTTATGGAAAGTGACAGAATGATAAAAATCTCATATTTCCAATCATTCAACTTGGATACGAAAAATTTCAAACCAGGTGTCATATATCCGAATTGAAATCATTATTTTAGTTGACTGCATATATATATATATATATATATATATATATATATATATATTCATGGATCGATTGAAATCAGGCATTAACACCGTTGGATGCCGGCTCAGTGGTCTAGAGGTTGAACGTTCATATGCGTGACCGAAGGTTTTGGGTTCGGATCTCACGTGCAGGATCGTGGATGCTCACTGTTGTGGAGTTATGTACTACAACAAAACGTCTGTCCAGTCCTACTGGGTTTTTAATGGTGGTCGATTTATGAATTCAACGATTAAAATTACTTCAATCTCTATGATTCCTGATTGCGATTTCTTGAGTTGTCTAAATAAATACTTTAAAACACTTTGTAAACTTTATCGACACACATCATACATATTTCCTGAAAAGATGTTTGCACTAAGTAACCATTTATTTTTAACCTTTGATTTCTATGTGTTACTATCATGGTTACAGGATATTCTTTAACATACATATGCAACGTTTATTTCATCTCTTAAATTTATATACATCTTCGGTATATGATACTGAGTCATAATTATAAAGAATCCTGACTGAATTCATTTATTCAGGTATTTTCAACTTATATTCGCGATTTTAACTTTTAAACATACTACAGATTCTAAGCACCAGTGTGTATGAGCACCTCATGAAATAAGATGAATTTATATATGGAAATTATATTTGAAATAATCTCAGCGAATAAAATTTAAATAATTCCAACGTTTCGTCCAGCAAACTTGTTTGAACTTCTTCAGGGTATCTAAATTTCAATCGCTGGTATTATTTCAAAGATAATGTCTCAATCGATGCTCGATTATTATCAAACTATTCGTTCTAATTCACTTATTATTACTTGATTGAATCTTCCCATGTTTAGGACTGCAACTGGTCAGTCTCTTATTGGCATATGTGCATACTGTGCGTATTTCCTAGATATAGCCTAAATTCACAAGCATTGTAAGCAAAGATGGATACTTAGTGAATTTAAACTTCACCCCATTGCACAAGCAAGTGGCTATCAGGACTCATTAGCTGAGTGGATAACTTGATGGCGTTTGAAGCGAAAGGTACTGGGTTCGATTCTAAGAGTGAACATCAACTTTGAGATGCGGGTACATCCAGCTGACGAGTCCCAAATAGGACGAAACGCGCGTCCTGGATTCCACTGCTAGCCACTATCCATATTTTCTTACTATCCGTTCTAATATTGATAAATACTCGTATAAAATGAACTTCTTTTATTATACACAAATCTTTGTTCTTACTCTTTATCAATTCCACATTATATTAACTTATTACTTAAAATATCATAGGAATATATTACTTATAACATAATTGTGACTAATGTTAGATAATAACAAATATCTCATCAGCTTCCTTATTGTTTGAAATGATTAAAAATAAATCATCTGAATGATCCAGTTACAAAAAGAAAAAAGTAAGGATCATAATTCATCATAGCAGATATTCTTTTAATCCAATGAACAGAAACATTGTAACTTTTCATAATCGATTTAAAGTATCAGCTGATGATATTCAACTAGAATAAAATCAATAAAATTTAACAAAATTACTTCAATATTTATTTAATAAGTAAAAAAAAGCAATATACCAAGATGGTTAACGGTTAAAACTTATTTACTTACGTCTGTTACCCCTCGTGGAGGAGCATAGGTCGCACACCAGCACTCTCCATCCAACCCTGTCCTCAACAATCCTTTCCAGTTCTTTCCAGTTTCTATACATCCTTGTCATATCTGCTTCTATTTCCTGACGTAATGTGTTCTTTGGCCTTCCTCTTTTTCTCTTCCCTTCAGGATTCCAAGTTAGGGATCGCCTCGTGATGCACATTGGTGATTTCCTTAATGTATGTCTTATCCACTTCCAATATAATGTACATTTACTGAGAAGTTAATCTACGATTCACATATCCTTCACTCTTTCTTGGTGACTGATTAAGTTTACATAACACTAAGCAAACTTATGAAAAGTTGAAAGTCGCGATATTTATTCATACACTTGTGTATGAGATCTATTTTCTTTTATGTAAAAGGAACCCCAAAATTGAGATGGAATTAGAATTACCATTGAGAAAATGGATACAAAAGCAACTAACTGGATTACCAAACTAACATTTAAGTAGGCATTAGGAAACTATTTATTTTTTCATGAGACAGTTGTTGAATAACTAAACACCAACCAGATGAATAGAAAAGATCATTGATTATTATCTGATCTCATCTATTTAGAGAATTCTTCAGTTTCTAGAAAGCCAATTAATCATACGTTCGATAATTTGAAGGTCACTTACTGAGTATTCTGTGTCAACTAAAATTCCATTTCAATGCTAATTTGATCATTGTTGTTCAAATATCACTTACTTTTCATTGTCCAAACAATATTATCAACTGGTCATTTAATACATGAAAACCATAGAAGAAGGATTGACATTTTACTTGGTGATTTCCTTAATCAGTGTCCGATCCACTTCCAACGTCTTTTCCTAATTTCCTCTTCAGCTGGAAGCTGGTTTCTCCTCTCCCATAAAACGCAGTAACCAGCGGAGTTCAACCAGGTTTGT